GAGCCCCAACATCGTCATGTCTGATGCAGACAGTGAGTCCCCGCTGTCTAAAGTTTGATCTGTGCCTCCTACCTTGGCTTTCTGCAGACAGAGCTGGAGGGGAAAGGAAAAGAAACCTCTGCTGTCCACCCTGACACCCCTGGGCTGTTCTTAGCCAGAGTATCAGCACTGCTCCACCCCCACTTTTTTTCCCAGTGCTATGAAGTTCAGTTATCAACAACCTGTTGTTTCAGTATCTTCCCCCAGTCTTCGCTCCATTTTGGATTAATTTCTGTTTCTGTTGGAGCACACCACTCTTCCCCACACTTAACAAGTCCCGGTCCCCTCCTCCCTTGCATACAGACTCATTTTTGGTCTGGATGAACCAACAAATGTGTTTTTATATGGCAGTAAGGAAGGAAATTTTCTGGATCTTAAAAAAAATTGTCCTTAAAACCTGATAAATTCAAATTAGGACCATAATCTGCCTCAGATTAGGTATTTTGGTCTAGTCTGGGGTGCCTTAATAGACCCTCACACGAATGAAATGTGTGTGTAACTTCTGCCACACCAAAGCATGGAGAACGCTGCCAACTGACAGGGCTTTGTGCCCCCACCAGTCTCTGTGATAACTGTTCTGAAGAAGTCACCTCCTGGCTCTGGTTGGGTTTATTTGCTGATTTGTTTTCTCTCCTCTCCCCACTCCTAGTGGACTGGGCGGTGGATCAAGCCCACTTTGCCCTGTTCTTCAACCAAGGGCAGTGCTGCTGTGCCGGCTCCCGCACGTACGTGCAGGAGGACATTTACAACGAGTTCGTGGAGAGGAGTGTTGAGAAGGCCAAGGCTAGGGTGGTTGGAAACCCCTTCGACTTTAAAACCGAGCAGGGGCCTCAGGTAAGAGCAGGAAATGCCCTCAGCTGTTACCTCATGGAATAGTCCCAATCCTGAGCCATAGTGTGATTAGGATGGAATTATCCTCCAGTCTCTTGATTAACCTCCTTTGAACTGTGCCCATGATCTCCTTGCTTGTGCAGGGGGGAAAAGTTAATTAACCATTTGATGGTTCCACAACCTCCACTTGAGGCTGGCGTTTAAAAGCACTCCCTTTGAAGCTGGCTGGGTGCTCTGTGGAGATCGGGAACTGCTGGAGCACGGCAGGTGGGAGCGGAATTCTCCTTCCCCTCCCAGTGGAGGTGGAGCTGATGTGTGTCCTCGTGGCTCTTAGGTGGATGAGGAGCAGTTCAAGAAGATCCTGGGTTACATCAGCACTGGGAAGCGTGAAGGAGCCAAACTGCTGTGTGGTGGCAACCCCGCTGCTGACAGGGGCTACTTCATCCAGCCCACGGTCTTCGGGAACGTGCAGGACAACATGACCATTGCCAGGGAGGAGGTGAGTCCTGCAGCACCTCCCCGGCCCTCACCTTCTCACTCATGGTCACTTTGCCCCCTCTGATGCAAAAAAAAACCCCACGGGTTTACAGGCACTGAGTGTTCATGAACAGTGAAACTCCTAGAATTATCTGCCCTCACATTTACATCCTGGGGCCTGATGTTTGAATTTCATGTCCTGTGTGTGACTTCTGACACCCATGCACGGCTCCCACATCACCCATATGACCCCGAGTTCCTAAGTCTTTGATGCTGTTGAGGTATTTTTTTCATGTTTGGTTGGTTTTGTTCGGTTTTGTTTAAATGCTGAGATCAGAAACATGTGTTTCGAATCAAATGTAACTATTGACATGAAGCAAATTGTTAGATCAGTAATGATTCCTGCTTTGGACTTCTCCAGAGGGAGATTGAATGTACCTGAGGCAACAAATGTGGAAGGAAAATAACCAGTATTTCCTCTTTCCCTCCGGAGGTGCCTGAATTTTCCTCATTTGCCACATAACAGGCCCGGAGCTGTAGGATAAAAAGCAGGATGTGGGTGCTGTGCCCAGACCCAGAGAGCCTGAGGCTGAGCCAGGAGATGTCTGCTTCCCTCCCTGCTCCGAGATTTCCACCTGCTCTGTTTGGACATTGCAGATCTTCGGGCCGGTCATGCAGATCCTGAAGTTCAGGACGATGGAGGAGGTCATCGAGAGGGCCAACGATTCCAAGTACGGGTTGGCGGCCGCCGTGTTCACCAAGGACCTGGACAAGGCCAACTATGTGTCCCAGAGCCTGCGGGCTGGCACGGTCTGGTGAGCTCCCTCTGCCCCCTCCCACAGCTCCTGGGAGCTTCCCTGGGTGCTGCCAGGGCTCTCTGGGCTCGTTCTGTGTCAGCCTGTCCCTCCCTGGCATCCATTTCTACGTGTGCTTCACTGGCTGTCGTGTCACGCTTCAGTTGTGATGGTGACTGCTGGTAACATTTATTTTATAGAGATATATTTAGGCTGGAGCCCCTCTGCTCTGGAGCCAGGCTGAGAGAGGTGGGATTGTCCAGCCTGGAGAGGAGAAGGCTCCAGGGAGACCTTAGAGCCTCTTCCAGTGCCTAAAGGGGCTCTGAAAGAGCTGGAGAGGGATTTTGGACAAGGGACGGAGGGACAGGATAAGGGGGAATGGCTTCCCACTGCCAGAGGGCAAGGTTAGATGGGATACTGGGAAGAAATCCTTCCCTGTGAGGGTGGTGATGGGCTGGGATGGAATTCCCAGAGAAGCTGTGGCTGCCCCATCCCTAGAAGTGTCCAAGGCCAGGTTGGATGGGGCTTGGAGAAACCTGGGATAGTGGAAGGTGTTCCTGCCTGTGGCAGGAGGGGGATCTCGACGAGCTTTAAGGTCCATTCCTACCTAAAACATGCCATGATTCTATGATTTATATCAGGTTTCTGTATTCCCACTGTGAATTAAGGAATGGGATGGGGAAGAAAGAACCCAGTGCTGCAGGCTCTGAGTGCCAGCAGGGATGGGATCACTGGGCAGAGGATGCAGAGGATGTTCTGCTCTGTCCCGAGCCTGTGCCACAGCCAGCACTGCAACACCAGTGTCCTGCTCTAGCATGAGATCTTGGAGAGCCAGGATCTCACTGTCTTTTATTTTTTACTTTGTTTTAATTGGTACTGAGGGAACTTCTGGTACCTGAGCTCTGAGGGGGGTGAGGGCAGCACTGGGACAATGAGAGATGGCAATGGATTCCATGCCGTGCTGGGTGATCAGGTTTCAGGATCAATCCCCTGGGCTGAGAGAACTGGCAAATGCACAAATCCTGCAGAGAAACTCCTCCTTTCCTCTGCTGCAAACAGCTCAGCTGTCCATTGTGCTGCCAGAGGGCTGTTCCACGAAGAATCCCCGAGCTCTGGGTGTTTAACCCTGGCTTTCCATTCCAGGATCAACTGCTACAACGTGTTTGGTGCCCAGGCCCCCTTTGGGGGCTACAAGGCCTCTGGGAACGGGCGAGAGCTGGGGGAATACGGGCTGGAGGCCTATGTGGAGGTGAAAAATGTGAGTATCCCTGTGCCCAAGGCATTCCCAACCCTCTGCTGGAGCCCCAGCTGTGCCTGTGCCTGTCGGTGTGGGCTGGGCTGGGAGCTGCAGTTCTTCCTTCTGCTGCTTGGAAGCAAATTGGGGCAGAACTGGGACCCAGGCCTGGAGATTCCCCTTCTCCCTGAGCCTTCCCAGACCTGTCCTCTGGTTTTCTCCTGCTGCCTCTCCAGTAACTACCCCTGAAACGTCTCAAGGAAAAAAAAAAATCACTCGTGACTTTTCCTTTTTTTTTTCCTTCTAGGTGACAATCAAAATTCCACAGAAAAACTCCTAAAGGAAAGGACAGCAGCCTCTCCAGGAATTTGGAAACACCTCTGCAGCTTCATGAGACACAAAGCAGCCAAACCTCTTAACACACAAAATTTAGGTGCAAAAATAACGTAACTCCGTCTTGAGATTTTTTTTTTAGAAGGTGTTTGAAGGAGCTTTTGTTAAAAAAGAAAAAAAAAAAACAAACAAAAAGCGTTACTTGGCTTTATCTTTTTAAAATACCAAATACAGCGAGCTGAGCACTAACATGAGATGGGTTATTTTGGGTACGTTTTGGGTACAATCACCTACACGCGATGGGTGTGATCTTTCCATCTGTATCTGATAGATATGCTTCCCCCCCAAAAAAAAAAAAAAATTGAACTGCTTGTTTAGTCTAGGCGGGTTTATATAAAGTAACAGTTCTTTGTTGGCTTTATACCCTTGCCCTATAAAACTAAAACCGCGTATGAGCAGAGTGAGCTCGGTGTGTAGCTGGGCAGGGAGTGAAATCTGTGGGGTGAAAGTGTTTTCTTGCTGCCTTCTGCTCTTTGTATCCACTCTTAATAAACATTCCTGTCTTAGTGCAACCCCCCCCCGCCTTTGTTGGAGGTGTTTGTGCCTTTATTGGAGGTTTGTGCCTTTGTTGATGGTCGTTAGAATCTTCACAGAGGCGCCAAGACCTCGAGATCTCGCGAGACTTCCCTGTGCCCGGCCTCCTCAGACTGGCAGGTGCGCCGAGATCTCGCGAGACTTGGCGCCGCTCGGCCCCTCACTCACGACCCCGGGAGCCTCCATTCCCCTCGCAGCGCCGGCACCCCGAGATCTCGCGAGACTTCGCTCCGCGGGGCCCCTCCCCATGACTTGACGGGCCTCCATCCTCTTCAAATCCCGCGGGCGCGCCAAGATCTCGCGAGACTTTACCGGGCGCGGCGAGAGGGGCGGGGCGCGGCGCTCTGCCGGTCCCGTTTCGTCATTGATCAGCGCCCCTCCTCTCGAAAGCCCCGCGGGGGCCTCGTTGGAGCCGTCGCCGTTTCAGAGCCGCCCCGGTACCGCCTGCTCCCCGCTCCAGCGGCGCAGCGGCGGTCCCGAGAACCGCGGGGCGTGCGCGGGGGGGGTGCAGGGCTCTCGCCGCGTCCCCCTGCGGGGGGCGCGGCGGCGGCGGCGGTGTCGGCGCGGGGCCCGGCGGCCGGCGGGGCTGCCCGCGGCGGTGCCGGCGATGTGGGCGCGCGGGGCCCGGGCGGGTCGTGGCGGGGCCGTGGCCGCTGTGGGGGCCCGGTGGGTCCCGCTGCCCTCGCGCCGCCGGGCATGAGGCGCAGCGGCCGCGGCTCCAGCGCTCCGGCGGGGCTGCGCCGGCCTTGAGGCCGCCCCGGCGGTCTCGCCCCCCGCGGGACGATGTCGCAGGATCACGACATGGAGCGGGCGATCAAGGTGAGCGCGGCGGAGGCTCCCGGGGGGCCGTGGGGGGGCCGTGCGGAGCTGCCCGGGCACGAACGCGGGGCCCGGTTCGGGACAGGGACGGTTTTGGCTGTGGGGGCGCTCGGGGAGGTTCCCAGGAACCGACCCCGGAACCGGCCCAGCTTCTCAGTGTTTGTCTGAGCCAACAAAGCGATTAATGATCGTTTCCTGCGAGTTTCACGGTTCTCTCGTTAATTAGCGTTCTATCTTCTGTTGTTTAATGATTCTCTTATTTCTCACGTGAATCAGTGCCATGCTCAGCCATTCTCTTTTTTTGGGTCTGGGGGTTTCTTGGGTCACCTTTTACTCAGTTGTAGCCGATTTCAGCCCGGTTGCTGAGTTGGGTTTATTGGTTTCTTCCTTCTCTTGAGGGCTCTGCCCCGTGTCTTTGTGGCCTGTAAATTCTGCATTCCTTGTGTCCACCATCAGTGGAAATCATTTTTAACGTGATTATTCCCTGAGGTGTCACATCCGTCTGTGTGAAAATCAATCTGGTGTGTGGGATAATTGTGTTTGGAGCAGCCAAACAGATCCCAGATTCCAGAATCCTTTCCCGTGGAATCCCTTTTGGGATAAAATGACAAAACCCAGTATTTTAAAGCCCCTCTGCAGCCTCTTCACCTCGTGCCAAGCGTTTGTTGTCACAGAGTCTGGACTGTTCATAAAAGCTTCTTAAAATAAAGAACAAATTCCTGAAGGATGGAGCAAAACAGACCCTGTGTGGTGGAATTTCCCCCTTTTCTTTATCCCTGTCCTGGTGGGATTTTCCTTTACAAAGCTCTCAGGAGGGCAAATTCCAGGTTAGGAGAAGCAGCAACAATTTGTTGTGTTGAAATCTGGGTTGATTAATGAACTAATCCCAAATGGTTTGCGTTGGAAGCACCTTAAAACCATCCAGTGCCACCCCTTGCATGGGCAGGGCCACCTTCCAGGGGGCTCCAAGCCCTGTCCAACCTTCCCTTGGACACTTCCATGCTGAAAATATATGGAATGTGTTGGAAATCTATGGGGTTTGTACTAAAAAAGGGCCCAAAGTAGAAGAAAATCCAAGCAGATTTTAATTAAGCAAGTGTCACAATTGTTTCCTGGGTTTTTTTTTTTCCTGGCCCAGTGCAGGGGAAGGAAAGTCCTGAAGTGTTTGAAAAAGAAAGTTTTTGAGTGTTTCTCTGGTATTTCACATGAAGGGAAAGGTTTCCTTCGGGGCTTTTGGGGTTTGAACCAAAAATCCGAAGGAGTTGTGGGAGTGCAGGGCCAGTTCTGCCCCTCCTGCCCCTCTGAGCTCAGCCCAGAGCAGGATCTGGGAAAATCCCTGCAGTTCTGAGCCAGAATTTGGTGTTTTCCTGTGTTCTGCTGATTTTCCTGCTTCCCAAATCCCTGGTTATGTTCAGGTTTGGTTGTTTCTCTGCCTGTGCAGGTTTAACTCTGTGGCTCAGGGCAGGGATCAGGGAAGGAGGTTGGAGCAGCAGGAGAGGTGGAATCACACAGCTCCAACCTGTGCACCTTTAATTTTTATTGTGGAGATTGTTTTGTTGTCACAATTCCTTATTTCAAACCTTCCCCCATGAATGTTCAGTGGAAACTGAGAATCATGGAATTGTTAGGGCTGGAAAAGACCTTCAAATCAGAAGGGCCTGAGCTTTTCCCTGGCCAGTCCTGATGTTTGTCCCTCTCAAAGCTCCTTGTTTCAAACCTCCTCCCATCGATATTCCATGGAAACGGAGAATCAGGGAATCCCTAAGGCTGGAAAAGATGTTTAAGTCAGAAGTGCCTGAGCATCCAGCTGGAAGGACTCTGGGAATGCTGCTTTTCCGGGCCTTTGGCATCCCAGCCTGCTGACTCTGCTGCTCCAAGGGTTGTTTCAGGAGCCCAGAGCTGCTGGGAGGGAGGAGAGCTCAGGCTGGGCTGGAATTGGATGCATTCCATGTTCATTTATTCCTTTTTCCCACTGGAAATCAACGTAAGGAGTGATCAGAAGCTCCAAGTTCCTTTGCCAGCAGGGATCACAAAGTTTTCCTGGATCCATGAAAGGCCTTTGGGCTTCCCACTTAAAACGCTCGGATATTTTCACGAGGTGGTTTGATTTATTTTGGTGCTGTTTGGAATCCCAGAATCCTGGATTACTGAAGTTGGAAAAGCCCTCCAAGATCATGGGGTTCAAGCTCTTGACAGAAAAGGTTCTGCCCACGATGTTTGGGTGTTCTGGGTTGGTTTGTGGTTCTGAATTAGGGGGTGTCAGTGATTAAAGGTCCCAAATACTGAATTTGGTGTCACTTGGAAATGGTGACAAGTGTTTCTTGGGCACTGTGTTATTCATTTTAACTCCTAAGTTGTAAAGCTGCTTTGGAGTGAAGGTTGGAACCCCAAATAAAACTGCAAAAAAACCACCCCAAAATGTTGCCTTTTTATTTAAAACAATAGCAAATACACAGAGTATGAGAGAGTTAATTTTTATTAAAAATGGACTTTGAATTGTTGAACTTGTCCTTCAGCTGTTGAGAATGATCAGATCTTATTTTCCCTTCATTTCATTCAGAGATCACAGACTTGCCAGTCCTAATCAGCTTCTCTGGCCCCTTTATTCAGGAATAAATGGGGATATTTGGCATTTGCTTTTCCATTTCAGCTCCTTCAAAACTTACACCCCAAGTGTGATGTGTGAAGCTGAGGGGGAGCTCCCCAGTCCAGAGAAACCCCTTCCCTGCTCATTAATGCTCTCCTGAAACTATTTTGAATTAATTTATTATATTTAATATATTAATGCTCTCCTAAAAACTGGGTTTTCATCCCACCTCTGCTGCCTTCAGTTCTCTGGAGCTGAATATCAGGATAATTAAAACATCTTCTTTCCCCTAATCTGCTTCTCACCAATAAAATTTGTTTGAATTGATAAGAAGTCTCCTTGTGGTTCTCCAAACAACAGATAGGTGTGATCCATGTTTCTTCTTTCATTTATAAAACTTCCAGTGATTTTTTTTTCCCCTTTACACCTTTCACTGCTGGTTCATGATTTATGCAACACTCCAGGCTGTGTTCAAACAACAGTTTTTTTCCTTTCATACCTACCCCTTGCACTCTTTAATCCCTTTAAATCTTACCTTAAATATCCACTTTCCTCCCTTGTTTGGTTCTCAATCCCTGTGGTTTGAGGTCTGGCTCTAGCCAGAGTTAATCCAAGATTATTGGAGCAGAGACCCCCAATCCCAGGTGAGGGATTGGCCTTTTCCAATGCCTTAAAATCATTATGGAACCACAAGATCATCATCCAACCTTCAGCTTTAGTTGAGAGCAGGAGTGTCCTCAGTTTTCTGGGATAAAATGCTCCCTTTGAATTATTAACAGAAAAGTCTGATCACAATAAAGTCCCTTTACAAGTGGTGGCCTCTTCCCTTAATTTTTAGCGTAGTTGGGAATATTTTCCTTGCCTCCTTCAGCTTCCCCAGTGCTGGGGGTTGTACCAGCCCCTTTCTTTCCAAAGATTGGAAAACCCTATTTTTGTGATGTACTTCTATGACCCAAAAATCCACATCAATGCTGAGACTGGGCCCTTCAGTGGGGATGGATCATTTACGGGTGGATTTAAATCAGGGGGAGATGCCCTTGTTGCACTTTGTGTGCTAAAGACACAAGATTCCATTTACTGTTCTCAATAATGCTGGTTCAGAGCACCAGGAT